GTCTCACTATCTGTGTTTTCTTTAACAAAGATTTTAATTTCTTCATCGGTAAGTCTGCTAGGTGCACGACCGCGTCGAGAAAAATGGCTAACCTTATTTAAACTAACTGGATTGTAAGTTCTGTTATAAATAAATTTCCCACGACGAGATCTCAATTCAACTTCTTTTATTTCCTCCACAAAACAATTTTCCTTCTGTACAATTGACTCATTACCTTTTCTTGTCGTCACCTCACTGACCTCAAAACACTCTCAACACAAAACTTGCTGGTTATGCAACATCCCGACGTTGTGCATCGTACATGTACCGCATCACAATATACACGTTAGGTACTTTAAGATTCAACGACGCGACGGCAATGAGAACGTCGCTTAAAAAGTGAATTTGCGTTCTTTCAGTCTTTATCGCAATTATTCCTACCCACTTACTTTGTCAAATGTAGGCGAACCCTTCTGGAGTTGAATTCTTTGGGACCACATCCAAGTACAGAAAGAGAAATAAAATTTCGGCGTTGCTTGTTTACGTCCTCCATAAAACGAGAAATTAGGCACTTTCATGTCGTAGTCGTCGAAAACGGGCAAAGAAATGTACAAAAAAGCGTTATGCACGTGCAAAGTTGTTTTTTATCTAATAAAACGTATTGTTTTTTTGACGTTCTCGTTGCTGTCCGCGTCGTTGGATCTTAAAGTCCCTAATTACATGAAAAACACAACGCCAGTGTTGTCAACTCTCTCGGATAATCCGGGAGACTCCAAATTTTGGACCGTATCTCCTTGTCTCCAGATTAGAGTCTGATATCTCCCTGATAATCAGCAAAGTTGCAATTTCTTGAAGACACGACTTTCCGACCATTAAATTTCAAATATTTTGCGTTGTTTGAGCTACTGTCAACCTGGAACATTTCCTCAGATATTTTGGTATGTCACTGTAATTTAAGCAATGTGGATAAAAATATGAACTGTTTATGTGCTATATACGTCGATCGGAATCAACAAGCATTTTGCCACGAATGACGTCATTTGCTGTGCGATATGACGTCATCTATCATTGCTTCCCTATCAATTCTCAATATTTGATGACGTGGGGGGTTGACAGCCCTGCAACGAGCAATACAAAAACAAATACATTAACAGTCACTCTACTAAACAAAATTGAAAGAATGAGAAGAATTGTTACCGGTATCACAGTAGTTCCCTTTTGGTTTCAATTGTTGACAATCTTCTCCAGCCCATCAGGAAAACACTCAATGTTATTTTAGTGTGGGCCTACCGCGAATAGTGTGTGCATTTGTAAGTTTAACCCTCGATAACATACTTCAACAATACGTTCCTCGAAACACCGTCGACAAATTTTATCCAAAGTGCGTCTTACTACTGCTTTGAAAAATTTCCGATCAAATTATATCATTTGATTAGAGTGCAGCTAAATGTCGTGGTTCGTGGGTAGTGGGTAGAGGTCGTGGGTCGTGGGTGTGGGTGTGGGTAAATGTCGTGGGTAAAATTAAAAGGCAAAACTTTTAAAATTCATGAAACGAAAATCTCCGCTTACATGCCAGTCCTATTCCCCTTCCCCACAACAGATTTCGTTTATTCGCTTAGGATTTGCTTAGAGTTTTATTTTCTTCGAGACATTTGATACATTTGGACTTCGTCCGATATCTTTTGACCTCTGACTTGACGAAAAGGAGGTTTTTTCAGTTGTAATCACTGACAAACGTCATTTCAGTTAACGGAATGATATTTAGAATCGTTACAGCAAAGATTTTGTACGCAAAACGAAAAAAAGAATCAAGAAATTATATTTACGTAAGGCAATAAAATTTGCATACAGTCTCGCCTTAACTTGAAAGGTTGAGCATGAAGGTGATTCGTTAGCCTAAAACTTCTTTAAGAAAGACTTCTGTCCAAAAATATGAAATACCTCAAATACCTCAAAATTCTCCTTTTTCCCTCCCCTTTCCCACGGTGATCGCATTCCATCGTGTTAAGAAATCTCCGCTGATCACTGGAATTGTAGATCGAATAAAGATTCATAGTGAGCAGCTACTTTCATTCAGCGAGTCAGAGCTGTCGATCCCATGCTTTCTGCAAATTGTACGTATAACTTAATTCTGTTTCGTTTATTTTGCGGCGATAGCTTAGGTATGGATAAATCTTCATCGGCAACATGCAATGTCTTTTATACAGTGATGGTGTGAAAGGGGGGCCAAGGAAATATCGGGAAGGGGACGAAGACGAAGCCGTTACGAAAAGGCCAATCAAGGAGTTGGAGTTTATTTATTCTTTTTATTTTATTATTTTTTTTCTATACCTTTTTTACCCACGACATTTACTCACACCCACACCCACGACCCACGACCTCTACCCACTTCCCACGACCCACGAGATTTAGCTACACTCATTGGATTACTACCTTCCTTAAAGCGCGACGAATTCTGCGCGTAGTTTCACATTTCAACCTGTCAGTTTTGGCCAATGAAACGTTGTCGGTTAGTCTCTGTTGTGAAATTGACAACTTTTTGGGCGCCGTACGAACAAGTTTTGATCACGTGCTGTCTAAGTTTTCAGGTTTTTCGTGGGAGCGTATTCTATTTTTAAACTCTGCATGTGTCAATATGGTGATGCAAATTCAAGTTCAAATTGGAGATACTTGAACAGTTATTTTATGAATCCCCTGGGAGTGTTGAGGATTTAAAAAACTACATTTTGCGTGAGATTCCGTTTTATGGATTTTGGTATTAGTTTACGAAAACGATAAAGGAGAACATGTAGTGTTGAATGACGTTCGCATGGCATACATTCGCCTCGCTTCGCTTGTTTACGTTAGCACGTATTGCGTGCCTATTGCAATTTTGCGTCAAAACAAGCCGTTTCGATTACCCTATTTGACCCACGCCCAAATAATAATTCTTTCTTCCTCCAATAAGTTAAACAATAAATCAAACAAATCGAAGTGATCTCGAGGTATCTCGAACTAATTCGGCTCTCACTTCGTCAAAAAACCAAATAAAAACGAAAACCTACAGACTTTTGCGTGTCCAATCTTGTCCACAAAAAGCAACTTTGGGACATTCCTGAGCGTCGCGAATCCTTTATTTCGTGCTCCAACGAAGTAACAAGCGACGCGAACGACTTCAAAAACGCTAAAAGTCATGCATGCAAGAAAGGAAACCTCTACTCGCACGCCAGTACAAGGATAACAGCGGTTGAGGAAAATTAGGGAAAATGGTTTTACTGACTTTTAAACAATTTTGAGCAGACAAATTACCTTATAAAACGGACAGGAAATTCAACAAGAATACACTCAAACTAAATTTCTAAGTCTAGCTGTCGCAGAAGGTGCTAAACTTATACATTTTCCTCCGCAGAATATTAACTCTGCCAATAGCAATATTTCGTCTGGTAAATAAAATATATAGAAGCTATGTAAACGAGTATTATGAAGCGAACTGCAACTTGCTTGATCTCCTTGAGAATCTATCCAGCTGTCCTTCACTGGTCTAACGCAGCGGATTTTCCTCTGAAACGTCCTTATTTCTCTTCGCCGAAGCTGGTGTTACTCCAGTTAGCGATCAAAGTTAAGGAGATCTCTTTGCTTGGACTCTTACTCATCTCGAATTCTTTTTTTTACAAAAGCGACATAATAAGTTCACGCTGACATCCGTGATGAGAAATTGATGTGTTGACATTTCAATGACAAGTTAGTCGCTGGAGGCCGAATCGGCGGCATCAAAGGCATGTCTCCAGGCTCCGCCATCCTTTCCCTTCCCCAGACTACCTCTCGGCTCGCTTCACTCGGCGATTTTTTTCCCTTTTTCCCCCAATACAGAGCTTGGTCCCAGGCTAAGTCTTTAGCAGTGGAGGGGCAAACACAAATTTTTACACCTGGCGTGAATTTTCTGCAGTAAGGTAGTCTAGATTGTAAGATACTGTAAGTCATGTGAAACAGCTACAAATGCAGTCTCTGCAACAGAAACAATACTGTGTAGTGACTCGTGCTTTTAAAATCTGAGAAGTTAGCTTTTGGCTTGGGACACAAGGAGGCCCAAATCAGCTAGAATTTCATAGAATTTTGCTATTTTACTATTTTTCTATCTGAGTTCATCTACTATGAAGGAAAGTGTTGCTAGCAAGACAAAAGCAAGGCAAATTGCCTTTATGACGTGTTTTTGATGGTGTTAGATCTGTCCATCTCATGATCACGGTAGATGAGTAGAGTCCTATGCACATAAGTTTACATCCTTTGAACACTTGGACGTTACTATCTCTTATGCGAAATTCAAAGCACACCTGGTTATAATTTATCGTCCACTACCATTCAGGAAGAACAAGTTGACCGTATCGATGTTCTTCGAGGCATTCTCTCGGCTTATCGAACAGTCCTGATGGAAGACTATATTTATCCACTAGTCATTGCTGGAAACTTCAACTTCCATGTTGATGACTTGAATCATTTTTTTTTAGCAAAAATGATTTTATTAATGACTTCACAACATTACATAAACTTTACAATCTGATACTGGCGTTTCAACTTTACATAGAAAGAGCTACACTACACTCAATCCTGAAAAAAGAAATTAAAATGTATACTCGACAACAGAAATATACAAATAACAATAACAGACAGAGAGAAGGGGTGGGGCAATAGACTCAATTTAGACAATATTTGATTTTTTGCCCGCTTTTGTCATGGAATTTTACCTATTCCGCATAAATGCTTTCCAATCCTACCTTATATACTGAGTATTGCTGCGATTTTTGTTTTTAAGACCCGTATTGCTGGTTTAACACCATTTAATTTACAGCGATAAATGTAAAACTTTGCGACTCGAATAAGATGATTTACAATGACAAAATCTTTTCCTGCGCTGAATATACCAAAGAAAACATTAACAACCGACGAAGGTTCCAAATTAATATTACATTCCATAAGTAAGAACGGAGCGCTTCCCAGAAGGATCTTGTTATTTCGCAACTGTAAAAAAGATGCTCGAGAGATTC